ACTTTAAGACTTGTGGACTTCAACTCCCAGAATTCCTCAGCCAGCAAAGCTGGCTGAGGAATTCTGGGAGCTGAAGTCCACAAGTCTTAAAGTTGCCAAGGTTGGACACCCCTGGTGTAGGGTTTCCTGCTGAGGCAGCGGGTTGGACTAGAACAGCCGTCGCCAACCGGTGGGCCGCGGCCCACTGGTGGTCCATGAGAAAATTTGGGTGGTCTGCAGAGAAATGTCACCCGCAGAGCACCCCCCAAAGCAATTAATCCAGGCTGCGCAGGAACAAGGCTGCGCCACCCACATAGCCCGCGGGAACCCTCCCCGCCTACTTACTCCTTACCTGACAAACTTGCCTGTTAAGTTGCTATTTTTCCTTTTTTTTTTTTGCCCCCGGCCATCAGCTGTTCTGTTGTACTGGAAGATTTAGTTTAGCTAGAAAGCAGGAAATCGTTAGATTTCTTGCTTTCTAGCTAATCTTTAGAACCTCCCTTAGGACTGAAAGTTCTATTATTCAGTGCAGACTCACGGCCAGCAAATTTTATGTGACAGACTCAGGTAGCCGATGGCAGATAGATGGATCACTGAATGATTCTGGAAGCAACTCAATCTGCCTGCCTGCTTTGCCTGGTTTTGGGTAAAAGTTGCCCTTTTTATAAAAAATTCAATATTGACATACACGGTGTGTTGTGAGTTAATTTTGTTAGTTTGCTTGCTAGCAAATTTTATGTGACAGACTCAGGTAGTCGATGGCAGATAGATAGATCTCTGAGTGATTCTGTGAGCAACTCAATCTGCCTGCCTGCTTTGCCTGATTTTGGGTAAAAGTTGCCCTTTTTATAAAAAATTCAATATTTACATAAATATTTATAATATTTACATATAAGCCATGCCCAGCCAGTCACATGACCACCAAGCCACACCCACAAATTAAGCCACACCCACAGAACACACCCTTAAGAAATCTGAATCCCACTCCTGCCTCTGTGTGTTCGTGTGTGTGTGTGTGGGGGGGAGAGGTTAGATCAACTCTCTCTCTCTCTCTCTCTCACACACACACACACACACACACTCACACACACAGTGTCAGCAAGCCACCATCAGTCAACATTCATTCCCCAGGATTTAAAATTACGTGTTTGGTGGTCCCTGAGGTCCAAAAGGTTGGCGACCCCTGCTATACCCCTGTAATGCTATACCCCTGTATAGCATTACAGACAGGTGACGGTCCATTCTCTTTTTAAAATCCTCCATTGATGGAGCACCCACAACTTCTGAAGACAAACTCTGGTTTATTGTTCTCAGTGTCAGGAAATTTCTGCTTAGTTCTAAGTTGCTTCTCTCCTTGGTTAGTTTCCACCCATTGCTTCTTGTCCTGCCTTCTGTTCTTTGGAGAATAGCTTGACTCCCTCTTCTTTGGGGCAGCCCCTGAGATATTGGAACATTGCAATCATGTCCCCCTCTCGTCCTTCTTTTCATTATTAGAAATACCCAATTCCTGCAACCTAAGTAAGTTTTAGCCTCCAGCCCCCTAAACATCCTTATTGTGCTTCTCTGCACTCTTTGCGGAATCTCAAAACATCTTCTTAATCATAGGGCCACCAAAACTTTAATGCAATATTCCAAGAGTGTGTGTGTGTGTGTGTGTGTGTGTCTTAGCAAGGCATTATAAAGTGGTATACAGAATAAGAGAGTTGGAAGGGGCCTTGGAAGGTCATCTAGTCCAACCCCTCCCCACGCCCAAACAGGAGGCCCTGCACCATTTCTGACAGGTGGCACTCCAGCCTCTTCTTGAAAACCCCCAGTAATGAAGCATCCACAACTCCTGGTGGCAAATCGTTCCACTGATTAATTGCTCTCACTGTCCTTGATAAGTTTCGATCAGAATAGAGCTGGAAGGGAGCTTGGGAGATCATCTAGTCCAACCCGTTGCTCAAGCAGGAGACCCTATAGTATAGCATTTCAGGGAACCTGTTTTCCATCAGTTGATTGCTCTCACTGTCAGAAACTTTCTCCTTATTTCCAGGCTGAATCTCTCCTTGATCGGTTTCAATCAGAATAGAGTTGGAAGGGAGCTTGGAGGTCATCTAGTCCAACCCTTTGTTCAAGCAGGACGCCCTATACGAGGGGTCCCCAAACTTGGCAACTTTAAGACTTGTGGACTTCAACCCCCAGAATTCTGGGCGTTAAAGTCCACAAGTCTCAAAGTTGCCAAGGTTGGAGACCCCTGCCCTACTGTCCAGCCTCTTTTCAAAATCCTCCATTGACATGAAGACTTTATGTGATCTTGAGGCTATCCCTCCCCCAAGCAGCGCGCCCCCCCCCCACGCCTTTCCTGCCCTGCTACCTGCTCGAAACAGGCCCGTTGCGGGAAGCCGCCCCCTCTGCAGACGTGCACCGCCACCCTCCTGCCGGCCAGCATGATCTGGGGCCCTTCGGAGCAGGAAGGACGGACTGCCACTCCTGCGAGAATCTCGGCGGGTCATGGAGGGAGGTGGCCCTCTAGCGGCGGTTGCCTGGCGCTGCTGCCGCTTCTCTTGGTCGGGAGAGCGCCCTCTAGCGGCCGCGGCCGACTTTCTTTGCCAAAGAAGTCGGTTCCCGTGGATTTGGTTGGCTCAGCCAGGTTGGTGGCACTCCAGAAGATCCGGGATTACAGATTAACAGAGTTGGAAGGGACCTTGTAGGTCACCTAGTCCAACCCCCACCACCACCTCCAAGGAGGAGACCTTACTACACCATTTCTGACAGAATTGATTCCTGCAGCTCAGTTCTTGGGAACTTGATTGACAGCCTGGTGTAAGGTCACCAGCTCGAGAAAAAGGGTTGGGCTAGATGACCTCTAAGGTGCATTGCAAGCTTGTTATGCTATGTTTTGTGACAGATAGTACACGTTCATGATTTTTTTTTCTCTCTTGACCATAGTGTCTTTATTTGGCAGTACAGGGTAGTTCTCAACTTACAACACCTCACTTAGGGACCTTTCGAAATTACAACGGCACTGAAAACGATTAGGGGACTGGAGGCTTAAACATACAATGCAGGAACTGGGCCTGGCTAATGAAGGGAAGGACCAGGGGAGACATGAGAGCTGTCTTCCAATATTTGAGGGGCTGCCACAGAGAGGAGGAGGGGGTCATGCTATTCCCCCAAGCACCAGAAGGCAGGACAAGAAGCAACGGATGGAAACTAATCAAGGAGAGAAGCAACCTGCAACTAAGGAGAAACTTCCTAATAGAACAATTAACCAGTGGAACTGCTTGCCACCAGAAGTTGTGTGTGCTCCATCACTAGAGGTTTTAAAGAAGAGACAGGACAGGCATTGAAATTGACTCTCCTATTCGTGGAGGGAGTTGGACTGCAATTGCAAGTGTGAGCCATTGCCAAGCACCCAGATTGTGATAATGTGACCACAGGGGTAGTGCAATAGTTGTAAGTGTGAGTAAAAGTTGTAGATCACTTTTTCCAAGTAGCTTTGAGCAGTCATTAAACGACCAGACTAAACGATCAAAATCAAGGACTACCTTTATACTCTCAATTCACACATAAACTACCACCGCATGAAGGCAGGAATTTTTTTTTAAACAAATCTTTTTTATATGAAAAAAAAACAAATCAGACTTTAAAAATTAGAAGACAGGAAATTCTGAGCTCCAGCCGATGGCTCAGTGCCTGATGGTGCTGTTGATGTACAATTCCAAAATAAAGATGGTTTCATCCACTTGGTTTTCACTGGCATCGATCCTTGAATGAAAAAGAAAGAGAAAATACAATTCATGGAAAGGTTGCACCTTTTAATCATTGAACCAGTTGGACTGATTGCTTGAGCAACTGCAGTTTCTATTGGTAAGCTGTTCCACTGGTTAATTGTTCTCACTGTTAGGAAATTTTTCCTTCGTTCTAGGTTGCTTCTCTCCTTGATTAGTTTCTACTCGTTGCTTCTTGTCCTGCCTTTCTGGTCAGGGGTGGGATTCAAATTTTTTAACAACAGGTTCTGTGGGCGTGGCTTAGTTGGTGGGTGTGGCTTGGTGATCATGTGACTGGGTGGATGTGGCTTGGTGGTCATGTTATTGGCTGGGTGTGGCCAACTCAATATCACTCACATCGAGGCATGCATCTCCTCGCCTGGCCTCTCGTGACTGTGGGGATGCTGCAACAGTCGTAAGTGTGAAAAATGGTCATAAGTCACTTTTTCCAGTGCCATTGTAACTTTGAATGGTCACTCAACACTAGCAAAGTGCCAGCAAAGGAGGGGGAAAAAAACTCCAGAGACAGGAAGTCTAGTCCCGCCAAGAATGTAATAAGGGTTAACGGAGAGGCAGTTTCTGTAAGCAACACCAGAATGTTTCCTTCCTGCCTTCCTTACAGGATTAGGCCAGTAATTTCTTCTAACAACCGGTTCTCCGAACTGCTTAGAATGTTAACATCCGGTTCTAGAGAATAGGTGTGAACTGGTAGAATCCCACCTCTGCTTCTGATGCTTTGGAGAATAACTTGACCCCCTCTTCTTTGTGGCAGCCCCTTAAATATGGAATACTGCTATAATGTCATCCCTGGTCCTTCTTTCCACTAGACTATCCAAACCCAATTCCTACAACTGTTCTTCATATGTTTTAGTCTCCAGGCCTTTAATCCTCTTAGTTGCTCTTCTTTGTAATGTGGTGACCAAAATTGGATGCAGTATTCCAGGTGTGGCCTTACTAAGGATTTATAAAGCGGTACTGATATTTCACATGATTTTGATTCATCTCATCTAGCCCATCTTGGCTCCCTTTCTTTGTCCTCCTAGCCTGTATTGGTGGTTGGGGTTTTCCTCACTGGGGCTGAATTTGGAGAATTGAATTCTGTCAACTTTGGCTTCTGAAAGGATTGGACTGTCATGTCCTTGTTGGAGTCTGATTCTGAGGGGGAGATTGAGCAGCTGACAGGGAGTGGGAGTGGGACTCCAGTGGCTGTGGAAGAAACTGGGGAAGGGCACAGTCCGGCTGGGCATTCAGAGGAAGACCCAGGGCCATCCCCTCTTCATCCTAGGGTATGCAAGGAGGAACGGAGAAGGGAGCAACGTGGATTATGGGGGAGGAAAAGGCCCTGATTCCCTTCATTAGTTGCAGTTGGGAGAACAGGATATAAGTGGGGCGTTTGCACACAGCTCCTTGCTGGAAGCAAAGCATGCATTATCTTTGTCGAGGCTTATCTGGGTTTTGGCGTCCTCCCAACTGTGGTTCCTATGTTATCCTTTGAAAGCCTGCAATTTATTATCCTGGCCTTTCGTGTTAATTACTTCAGTGTGGTTTGTGTTGGTCTTTTTATTTCTACTTTATCTGTACTTTGGATTCGGACTGCATTTCTTCCCTTTGTAGACTGTTTTTGGAAGAGTTTGATCTCCAGCCGAGGATAAATGGACATTGGGGGGCAAATTGGAGGTATTAAAGGAAATTTTTCTACTTTTGTGACTTTTGTAATTTTTGTGCCACGCCCCGGGTCATCACATGGACAATCCCAGGCTGGCGACTCCATGAGGTGGGGGAAGGGCTTCAACCACTCCCACCCACCCCTACCTGGGCCATACTCACTTGTTGACGTTGTGCTTGAGGGTCTCCAGCTGCTGCCGTTCGGGTGCCGTGATCATTTCCTCAATCTCCTGCAGCTGCGCCTGCTCAGCCCCCGTGGCCTGGACCGAGGCGAGGATGGCCTCCACCCGCTGGCTCTTCTCCAGCAGACGCCTGCCACGTGAGAAAGGCCACGGTCAGAGGGTCTTATGGTCTTCGCTCGAATCACAGAGACCACGAGGCCAAAGGCCAGGTGACTTCAGCAGATGTCGTTTAACAGCCCCGTAATCCCTTGCAGGGTGAAGTCTGGGCAACTGAATGGAGCTAGCTGAGTGTTTACTGGCCCGATGCCTTTCCTGTCACCAATGCGGAGTTTTGTTCGGCAGATATATTTCTCATTGTGACCAGAGAGAAAAATATCTGCCTCTACCTAGGATTGAACTCACAGCCTCCTGACTGTGAGGTCAGAGCTCCCCCTATAGGCCACCCCACCACTCAGGTGACTTCAACAGATGCCCCGGAGATACAAAACATTTCATGAGAAACTTTGATTTTGCTTTTGTCGAACAGATAGATTCGTCGTTATAGAAACGGCTACTTACATACTGAAGGGTAAAAGCAAAAAGTTGAGGCAGGAGTGTTTCTACCTTGTAGTCTGCTAAAAAGAGTCAGAAGACAATGCCTTTCTTTTTCTTTTTTTCCCTTCTACCTCACACTTTCTGCCCCCCCCCTCTCCTTCCCCTAATTTTCTACTTCTATTTTTCTTTAAGTTTTATATATAAAATAAACTAGCTTGATCCTCGTGCTTTCCTATGAAACTGTGTGGTTGGGCTTAGTTTTTGGGGAGGAAAATAAGGGGGGGGGGGGGAATCTGCCTCTGCCTACCAGCATCCATTGGTATTCATCTGGCTAGTGTCCTATCAGTATGTGAGAGAGTTGAGGGCTGTTTGGAAACTAAAACAGTATTTGCTGTGTGAGCAAGGAGACAGTAAGGAGCCTGGGCGTGGCTTAGCTCAACTGTCCTGTACTAAAGCTGCTTGGTGCTGTGAAACTGAAACTGAAACTCCTCTCCTCCGCTTGTGTTTTGCATTTCTTTTCAGGTGGGGAGGGGGAGTAGAACTCCTTAGCATCAGAGTGTGTTAATAATAATGATATAGGAAATGCTAATGCTCTGATGGTCATTTCGAAAAATCCTTTCCTAAAAGCCAAGAGCCAAATTTCAAGTTTGTAGGCATTACAGTTCTGGAGATTTTGTGATGATGCGTGAGTGGTCTTTCGCTTTTAGATAGATAGATAGATAGATAGATAGATAGATAGATAGATAGATAG